GATCACATGCTTATGTCATTCACGCACACTTGCATAATTCACATGCTGTGCCAATGCTCGATATGCACATTCATGGCCACATCATCCCGAACTTAGGGCATTCATAAAATTCACATTGAGCACTCAATTTAATATACTCACATGTTCAATTCACATTTCAATATGTCCAATTAACCACGTAATTCAAATCAGCCACTATACATATAATTGGCACTCGAACTCATGCGATTAAAATAATATAATTGAGCACAATCAAGGCCCGCCATGCCTCTCGACTCTCGACCACATTAACAACTCCACTAACATTGACCATCACATCCAATCAAGATCAATGGCCAAGATGGGTTCTTAACACAAAATATCTAGGGGCAATTAAGGAATAAGCAAGAGTGATGGGGGCACTTTAGTCCATTATTTTTGGCACTAATGGGGCTTAATAAAACTAATTAAAACCTCTAAAATTCGGAATTAACACTTAAGGCTTAGGGGCAAATCGTTAATTTTCCATTTCCGGTCCGAAATTCCATTTTTCGACCATACCGATCCCAAATATAATTGGCCACACTAATACGACGTCGTCCTTGCAAAATAGTCGCGTACGTCCGTGAAATTCGACACTCAAGTCCGGATTCAATTCCACGATCAATTTCGCTCAAATGCGATTTTAGCGTCTCTTACTAATGGGCGGCTATTTAGGGGTTATGCGTATCGACTCAGAATACCCGAGTCATGACGGTCTCGATTTCCAAAAGAACGTGAGAATTTATCGCTAGTTCCGGAGGTCGCGATCGTTCGGAATAAGTTTAGGATCGTTTGCCACGCGTACTCTTGGTCGTGCGGAATCACCCGTGATCCGATCGTACATCGTTGGCCAAACCAAATCCGTCACCTTCCTTGGATCGGCCCACATTGGCCCAAAATATTCCCTCGTCGTTCCTCGGAATCGGACTCGATTCACGATCGAGTTCTTGGGTCCACGTACCGTTTCCTTAGTTAGCCATTCCCTACTGGTCAGCATCCCGAGAATGATAAGTTCCGAGCGAGACTTACTAAAATGAAATGAGAAATAAACATCTATTTCATTGATCACAAAAGTGGGTCGAATTCAGGATGTTACAACTCTTCCCTCCTTACAAAAATTTCGTCCTCGAAATTTACAACCCAAACCCGACTACTCAAACAAATGGGGGTATTGACGTCGCATTGCTTCATCACTTTCCCATATGACACTTTCTGTTCCATGATGTTCCTAAATAACCTTGACCAACGGGATCGTCTTATTCCTCAAAACTTGCTCCTTTCTATCCTCGATTAGCACCGGTCTATCCACGTACGACACCCTGTCGTCCACATCTATTACTTCGTGATTTAGCACGTGGGTCGGATCCGGTTCGTACTTCCTTAACATTGACACGTGGAAGACGTTATGAACTTGCGACAAATTCGGCGGCAAGGCGAGACAATAAGCTAACGTTCCAATCCTCTCTAAAATCTCGAACGGGCCTATATATCTTGGACTCAGCTTTCCTTTCTTGCCAAATCGAGACAGTCCTCTCATCGGTGAGATCTTAAGGAATACGTGGTCACCAACCTGAAACTCCAACGATCTACGCCTTCGGTCCACATAACTCTTCTGACGGCTATGTGCTGTCTTTAGCCTGTCCCGGATAATCCTTACCGTTTCCACCGACTGTTGAACTAACTCTGGACCCGTTACACTTCTTTCTCCCACTTCATCCCAATACAATGGTGTTCTACACGCTCTGCCATAAAGCGCTTCAAATGGTGCTATCCCAATACTCTGCTGAAAGCTGTTGTCGTAGGCAAATTCAACCAAATGTAACTGCTCTTCCCACTTGCCTTTAAAATCTAATACACATACTCTCAGCATATCCTCTAAAGTCTGAATAGTCCTTTGAGACTGGCCATCTGTCTGCGGATGATAGGCCGTACTGAACTGAAGTTTCGTCCCTAAGGCCACTTGCAGACTTTTCCAAAAATTAGCAGTAAACCGGGGATCACGGTCCGACGTGATCGTCACCGACACTCCATGCAGGCGGACTATCTGCCGCACATATAATTCCGCATACCTTTCCAACTCTAAGTCTTTTCGCACTGCCAGGAAGTGCGCTGACTTAGTTAGTCTGTCCACTATCACCCAAATAGAATCGTGTCCTTTCTGGCTTCTTGGTAATCCCGTGACGAAATCCATCGTAATATGCTCCCATTTCCATTCTGGGATTTCGAACATTCCACCAAGTTTACATTGTTGTGCCTTCACTTGTTAGCACGTCAAACACTTGGCCACATGCTTGGCCACATCCACCTTCATTCCATTCCACCAATAATGTTGTCGAAGGTTCTGGTACATTTTCGTGCTGCCCGGGTGAATGCTATAATTGCTCCTATGAGCCTCCGATAAAATCTCTTTCTTAAGTTCCAAATCGTCGGGCACGCACAAACGTCCTCGAAACTTCAAAATTCCCTCCTCGAACACTTGGAAGTCCGATTTCCTCTTAGTGCCATCCATCTTCAGAATTTTCTGAATCTCAGGGTCCGTGGACTGAAATGCTTTAATTTTGATTTGCACTTCCGGTTCAATCCTTAACGTCACCACTAAACTGGAGAGGTATCCTATCTCGAACTTAAACTCCGAGTCTCGCGCCCCTTCCAATAAAATCCACTCTTTGACTATTAATTGCACGATGCTCGACTTCCGACTTAGGGTATCCGCTACCCGGTTGGCCTTTCCGGGATGATACAAAATGTCACAGTCATTGTCCTTCAGCAACTCCATCCAACGACGCTGTCTCATATTTAGTTCCTTTTGAGAAAACAAGTATTTGAGACTCTGGTGATCCGTGTAAATCTGGAACCTTTCTCCACTTAAATAGTGCCTCCAAATCTTAAGTGCGAAAATGATTACTGCCAGCTCCAAGTCGTGAGTCGGGTAGTTCATCTCATGAGGCCTTAACTGACGCGATGCATAAGCTACCACCCTTCCATGTTGCATTAGCACGCATCCCAATCCCTTAAGCGAACATCGCTATAAATCTCATATCCTCCCGGTCCTGAAGGGATTGTTAGTACTGGCGCAGTCGTCAATCTCTGTTTCAATTCCTGAAAACTCTCTTCATACTTTTCCGTCCATTCAAACTTCGTCTCCTTCTTAAGTAACCTTGTCAATGGAGTGGCTATCGCTGAGAATCTTTCCACGAATCGTCGATAGTACCTTGCCAGACCTAAGAAGCTTCGAACCTCAGTAACTATCGTCGGTCTCGGCCAATCCATCACTGCTTCAATCTTCGCCGGATCCATGGAGATTCCTTCTCTGGAAATTATATGTCCAAGAAACGCCACTTGGTCAAGCCAAAACTCGCACTTGCCAAACTTAGCATACAGTGCATGCTCTTTTAACATTCGCAGGACCTTTTCCAAGTGTACCTCATGTTCCTCGGGACTCTTTGAATATACCAAAATATCATCTATGAAGACGATGATGAATTGATCCAAAAACTTCTTGAATACCCGATTCATTAAGTCCATGAAAGTAGCAGGGGCATTAGTCACCCCAAACGGCATTACTGTGAATTCATAGTGCCCATACCTTGTCCTGAATGCCGTCTTAGGGATATCCTCATTTTGGATCCTCAACTGATGATACCCTGTCCTCTGGTCAATCTTAGAGAATACCGAGGCTCCTTGCAACTGATCGAACAGGTCGTCATTCCTCGGCAGTGGATACTTATTCTTGACGGTCACTTGGTTCAGCTACCGGTAGTCGATACAAAACCTTAATGTTCCATCCTTCTTCCTTACAAACAGCACCGGCGCTCTCCATGGAGACGCACTTGGGCGAATGAATCCCTTGTCCAATAATTCTTGGGTCGGACCTTTAATTCCTTCAGTTCCGACAGGGACATCCGGTACGTTGCCTTCGAGATCGGCTCAGTTCCTGGGGCCAACTCGATCACAAATTCCACTTCTCTTTCTGGTGGCAAACCCGGCAATTCATAAGGAAAGACTTCGGGAAAATTGCACACCACTGGTATCTCTTCCAATTTTGGCTCCGCAACTGTCGGATCAACTACATTCACCAAATATCCTTCGCAACCCTCATCTAACAACTTGGTCACCTCGAGAGAAGAAATCCAAGGGATCGAGGTTCCTCCTCGGTTTCCCTGAAACTCAAATCTAGGACGTCCAATCGGGTTAAATTGGATCACCCTACAACTGCAGTCCATTACGGCTTTTTGCTTAACTAACCAATCCATTCCAATAATCACATCAAAGTCGAACATGGCCAAAACTGCCAAATCTATCCTTCCTTCTCTACCCTCGATAACTATTTTACAGTCAGGACACCCTAGCGAGACTAACACCTTATCATTCAGAGGGGTCGTCACATACAACATAACCTCAAGCAGAATCGACTCAATTCCAACCAATCTAACAAACTGCTTTGAAATAAACAATTGGGTAGCCCCCGGATCAAACAAGGCATACACAGCATGATCACAGAGAGAGACCGTACTTGTGACCACACCTGGCGTGTCCTCAGCCTCCCTTCGCGCCATCGCATACACCCTTCCTTGTGCTAGCGGTCTACCTTGAATGGCCGGTGGGGGATTCCCAGCCTAATTTCCGGCCCGGGGCTGCTGAACTTGCATCGGCGGTCCGGTTGGACGTTGCTGAGGGCAGTTTCTTATCTGGTGCTCCATGCTCCCGCACTTGAAACATGCCCCAAACCTGTTCTGCGGGTGGTTCGGCTTCCCGATGTTCTTTCTAACGGGAGGGACAAATCGCCTATTTCCCGCCATCGGCTTCTTCCCGAAGCGGCGGTTGTCCTTAGCCGGGGCAAACCGCGATCCAGAAGCGGCTGCCCTGTCCACCTGATCCCGCTCAATAGCCTGAGCCCTCTCATATAATTCCTCATAAGTTCTCAAATTCACCGATATCAACTGACTGCGAATATCGGCTCTCAGTCCATCTCGAAACCTTCACGCCTTGTCCTCAGGATGATCTATCATCCTTGGCGCAAACTTAGACAGCCTAGCAAATTCTGCCTCATACTGGTCTACAGTCATCTGTCCTTGATGGAGTCTCATAAATTCTGCTAGTTTCCTTTCCTTAGCACTCTCAGAGAAGAATTTTCCATAGAAGTTCTCGGAAAACACGGCCCAAGTCTGGGCGGTACCCTCGGGAAATACTCTTCCCCTGGTGGCCTTCCACCAGTCATTAGCATTATCTTGCAACAGATACACCGCTAAGGTCACCTTTTCAGCTTCGGTGCACCCCAGAACTTCGAATGCCTTCTCCAGCTCCTCAACCCAACGCGGCGCAGCCTCGGGGTCGCCCTTTCCGTCGAACTTCGGCGGCTTTAACTTTAGGAACTATTCCACTAACTGATGCATTTGCCTATTCCTAACTACCTGAGCCTGCCCTTGATTGGCCTGATTACCATTAACAGCAGCAGTCGTTGCGGCTTCAGTAGCTTGGGCGATATTGGCGGCCCTCTCTTGAGCCTGCCTTCCCATCAAATTCCCTATTTCTTGCAATGTCTGAATAACTGCATCAAGCCTTGGGTCTCTTGCTTCTCGGCCCATGGCACTTGACTGACCTCTTGTCCCCATTCCTCTGATCATCCCTACGGTTTTCCTCACTACTCACCTACCTGCTACAATTCCACTCAGGAATTAGAGACCTAGGCCAAACTATACCAGTCTAAAGCCCTAGGCACAGAATTATAGCAATCAATCACTCAGCAGGCAGTCAGACACGAGGAGCATGAAGTCTCAGCCAAAGGGACATGCGTACTTACCTCGGGTCCTACCGCACCTGCACTTTACGGGTCAATCACAACAATCACTCAATCATGCAATTCAAACAGTCTAGAGGTACACGTAGCACACAAGTCACCCTATTCGGCTACCCATGGTCATCGCTCCTTATCGCTCCTTATCACTCCAGACTTCGACCGAGTTGGATCGAGCTAACCTTGCTCTGATACCAAATCAACGGGGGTTGTCACGCCTCGAACCCTATGACACACGACAACCCTACCACAGTCAATTCAGTGCGACGTTCCAGGACGCGTCGCCGACCCAAAATCCAAAACAGAGGACAATGCACATGCGGAAGCAACATAACACCCGTACATAATAAAACAACATGACCAAGGATAGCGATAATTATAATAAATACAACTTGCATTAATAACAGGGATTTCAAATATCCAAAGACAGGCAATATACACCAACCAAAGTAGGTCAACAGCCACTAACATCAAAAAAGGGTATGTGGCTTGGGCGGTCAGGCACTAACTCTAAAAAGGGCTTTATCAAAAAGTGTCGGCCCTACCTAACTAAGTTCAAGTCTAAACTCTAGGGCAACCGGCCCTGATCAGATCCTGAAGGCTTGGACGAATCGTCAGACGACTCAGACTCGGAATCCATCGAATCCGGCCGGACTCGGTATCCACTGACTCCACCCCGAAATCATCCTCCAGCTCTGGCTCCTGCTCCATAGGCTCAGGCTCCGACTCTGACTCCTGATCAGACTCCCATTCCATTGGCTCCTCTCCCTTGGATTCGGTATCCATCCCGATGATGACTGGCTGGGGGTCGGGATCCTCCTCGGACGTAACAGCAGGGCTCACGATCTCCCCATCAACGGCCTGCGGATCCGACTGGCCTAACTCGTCGAACGAGACATGGAAGGTCGTAAGAGGACCGTGGGTGCCGAACTGGTTCTGGAAACACCAAGCGAGATAGGGATGGACCTGGAGCTGTGGCCCCCCCTCATCGACCCAAATAATATTATAATACCTAACATAAGTCTCCCCGTTCCTTACGGGGTACTCGGTAACCGATCGGTCTATGCGATACGGAATCCCAAAACGAAGTGGTGCTTCTGCCATCTTCAGGGTCGGGGGTCTGAAATGTGGGGTTTAAACAACAATGAGAATAAATCTCATTGAATAGGCCCCCTAAACCTAAACTAGGCTAACATGCACCTCCGGACAAGTATTAACCAAACAAACAATCAAACAATCATCTGACTTAGGCCTTCGGCCCAAATCCAACATATAATTTACCCTGCAGGTGAGGCACATAATAAAAATCATAATGGCACCGAACCCAATTGCGGTACAAGTACGAAATCACTTGGCCACGAACACAGGCAATGCACATGCTCACACTCGTTAATGCACCCTTGCACACGTGCCACCACTATGCATATGCTCATGCTCATTTTTGTACACTTACACACGTGCCAACTTTCCATTTATCACCGACCCACGTAAAACATATCAGGTCCGACCGGCGTAAAACGCATCAGGTTGGCCTTCTTCCGGTAGTCCGGGCATCGTCTAGCGTAAAACGCATCAGGACGGGTTCAACACCTCGCGTAAGACGCATCAGGGTTTTATGTGATCACATGTACATATACCACCAATTATTATCCGAACCCCGCGTAACACGCATCAGGGCAATTTAGGTGATCACATGCTCATGTCATTCGCGCACACTTGCATAATTCACATGCTATGGCAATGCTCGATATGCACATTCATGGCCACATCATCCCAAACTCAGGGCATTCATAAAATTCACATTGAGCACTCAATTTAACATACTCACATGTTCAATTCACATCTCAATATGCCCAATTAACCACGTAATTCAAATCAGCCACTGTACATAAAATTGGCACCCGAACTCATGCGATTAAAATAATATAATTAAGCACACTCAATGCCCACCATGCCTCTCGACTTTCGACTCTCGACCACATTAAACATTCGACATGGCATCATACAATCACTCTCGAACCATGCACCATTCGGCCAATACATGGACAAATCAAGGCACACACGACAATTCACAATTAAGCCCTAAATTAGCCGAACAAGGCCCGATCAAGCCCACAATGACCAGCCACAAATTAGTCCACCTTAGGCCTCTAAATCACCATCAAATCATCACATTAGGCTCCCAAAATTCACCACATAATCAGCCACTACACGGCCCACACATTGCACCCATTTTAATCCACATATTAGCTCAAATCAAGTCCATAATGATCAGCCAACAACCAGCCCATTCTAGGCCACCAACACATTTAAATCATCACCCTAAACCACCAAAATAGCCACAAAGTCAGCCCTAATCATCCGCCACTAATTAACCCCTAAAATACCTTAATTAACCCCTAAACCTATCTAGAAATGTATAATGGCCTAATTAGGGTTTAAGGTTTGTACTCACTAGGTCTTAAGCTCCAAACGTGACCGAACAAGGAGGAGAAAATGGGCTGGACTGAGCTGGTCCTAGCTGGTTCAGCGGCGGCGCTCCGGCGGTCCTCACGGCGGCGGCAACGGGCAGTGGCTCTCGGCTGAGCTGGGCGGCGAATGAGGGTGGTGGTACTAAGGGTGGTGTCACGGAAATGAAAGAGGAAAAAGGTTGGGAGTGACTGAGGTGGTGGTGGTGGTGCATGAGCAACGAGCGGTCGGCGGTGGTGGCGCTCGGCGAAGGTGCACGCACGGCCAAGGGGGCTAGTCCGAGGTGGTGGTGGTGGTGATGACGAGAGAGGGAGAGAGAGAGAGAGAGAGAGAGAGAGAGAGACGGTCGGGTGGTGGTGATGATGAGGTGAGGCGGTGGTGCGGACGAGCGGCGTGAGCGGCCTCGGCGAGCGGCGCTCCAGCGGGCGGCAGCGGTGTGTGGCTGCATCGACGAGCGGCTCACGCGGCCGAGGGGGAGAGAAATGGAGAGAGTGAGGCGTGAGAGAGGGGAGTGGCCGGTGCAAATGGTGAGAGTGAGAGGAGAGAGAGAGATTGCAAGAAGTGTTTATCCAATTTGGTGAGTGGGTTAGATAGAACAACTCCACTAACATTGACCATCATATCCTCTCCACTAACACATAATCCAAGGGCCACAATTCAAAGGCCAATCACATCCAATCAAGATCAATGGCCAAGATGGGTTCTTAACACAAAATATCTAGGGGCAATTAGAGAATAAGCAAGAGTGATGGGGGCACTTTAGTCCATTATTTTCGGCACTAATGGGGCTGATAAAACCAATTAAAACCTCTAAAATTCGGAATTAACACTTAAGGCTTAGGGGCAAATCGGTAAGTTTCCATTTTCGGTCCGAAATTCCATATTTCGACCATACCGATCCCAAATATAATTGGCCACACTAATACGACGTTGTCCTTGCAAAATAGTCGCGTACGTTCGTGAAATTCGACACTCAAGTCCGGATTCAATTCCACGATCAATTTCGCTCAAATGCGATTTTAGCGTCTCTTACTAACGGGCGGCTATTTAGGGGTTACGCGTATCGACTCAAAATAGCCGAGTCGTGACGGTCTCGATTTCCAAAAGAACGTGAGAATTTATCGCTAGTTCCGGAGGTTGCGATCATTCGGAATAAGTTTAGGATCGTTTGCCATGCGTACTCTCGGTTGTGCGGAATCACCCGTGATCCGAGCGTACGTCGTTGGCCAAACCAAATCCGTCACCTTCCTTGGATCGGCCCACATTGGCCCAAAATATTCCCTCGTCGCTCCTCGGAATCGGACTCGATTCACGGTCGAGTTCTTGGGTCCACGTACCGTTCTCCTAGTTAGCCATTCCCTACTGGTCAGTATCCCGAAAATGATGAGTTCTGGGCGAGACTTACTAAAATGAAATGAGAAATAAACATCTATTTCATTGATCACGAAAGTGGGTCGAATTCAGGATGTTACAATTCTTCCCCCCTTACAAAAATTTCGTCCTCAAAATTTATAACCCAAACCCGACTACTCAAACAAATTGGGGTATTGACGTCGCATTGCTTCATCACTTTCCCAGGTGGCACCTTCTGTTCCATGATGTTCCCAAATAACCTTGACCAATGGGATCGTCTTATTCCTCAAAACCTGCTCCTTTCTGTCCTCGATTCGCACCGGTCTCTCCACGTACGACACCCTGTTGTCCACGTCTATTACTTCATGATTCAGCACGTGGGTCGGATCCCCTTCGTACTTCCTTAACATTGACACGTAGAAGACGTTATGAACTTACGACAAATTCGGCGGCAAGGCGAGACGATAAGCGGATCTCGAACGGGCCTATATACCTTGGACTCAGCTTTCCTTTCTTGCCAAATCGAGACAGTCCTCTCATCGGTGAGATCTTAAGGAATACGTGGTCACCAACCTGAAACTCCAACGGTCTATGCCTTCGGTCCGCATAACTCTTCTGACGGCTCTGTGCTGTCTTTAGCCTGTCCCGGATAATCCTTACTGTTTCCACCGACTGTTGAACCAACTCTGGACCCGTTACACTTCTTTCTCCCACTTCATCCCAACACAACGGTGTTCTACACGCTCTGTCATAAAGTGCTTCAAACGGTGCCATCCCAATACTCTACTGAAAGCTGTTGTTGTAGGCAAATTCAACCAAATATAACTACTCTTTCCACTTGCCTTGAAAATCTATTACATATGCTCTCAGCATATCCTCTAAAGTCTGAATAGTCCTTTGAGACTGGCCATCCGTCTGCGGATGATAGGCCGTATTGAACTGAAGTTTCGTCCCTAAGGCCACTTGCAGACTTTTCCAAAAATTAGGAGTAAACCG